ATGGATACAGGGCTATGGGGAGGGAGCGGGGCAGTGGGATTAGTTTGGGGATGGATACAGGGCTATGGGGATAGAGCGGGGCAGTGGGATTAGTTTGGGGATGGATACAGGGCTATGGGGATAGAGCGGGGCAGTGGGACTAGTTATGAGGTGATGGATAGTCTGTTACTATGATGAGGGGGTGAGATATTTTGATATTGTATCTAACAATTCTGCACTGGTATCCAGAGACAATACACTTCACGCAATCTCTCACTCTCTCTGTCTCCCACTCTCTGAATGTTTCTGTCAGTCTGTATCTCTCTCTCTCTCTCTCTCCCTGTGTGTCTGTCTCTCTCTCTCTCTCTGTGTGTCTTTCTGTCTCTCTCTCTGTCTCTCTCTCTGTCTCCCTGTGTGTCTCCCTGTGTGTCTCTGTCTCTCCCTGTGTGTGTCTCTCTGTCTATCTCTCTCTCTCTCTCTGACTCCCTGTGTAACTGTCTCTCTCTGTCTCCCTGCGTGTCTCTCTGTCTGTCTCTCTCTCTCTATCTCCCTGTGTGTCTCTCTGTCCATCTCTCTCCCTGTCTGTCTCCCTGTGTGTCTGTCTCTCCGTTTCTCCTTCTGTCTCTGTGTCTCTCTTTCCGGCTTTGATTCTCTCTTTCTGACAACATCCCAAAAGAGGCGAGGGGAAAGGAGGAGAGGGGAGGAGAGGAGATGGTAGGCCCTCAGTCTGTAATTCCCCCTCAATTCCCAACAGCACAGGGCATCAGTCGCTCGCTGGGACAGGATGATGCTGGTTTAAGGGGGAGTGAGTGAGATAACAATTGATGGAGAAAGAGGCTAAAAGACAGAGAGAGAGAGAGAGAGGGATGGAGAGGTGTAGAGACACAGAGAGAGAGAGAGAGAGAGAGAGTGTAAAAGAAACAGAGGGAGACGGAGAGAGGGAGGGGAATAGAGAGAGACAGACACAGCCAGAGAGAGACACAGAGTGACAAAGAGGATGAGAGAGAGAGATGAGAGAAAGACAGAGAGAGAGATAGAGAAAACAGGAGAAAGGCACGCAGACACACAGAGAGAATGACAGAGGCACAGACACAGGCAGAGCGAGAGAGAGAGAGATAGAGAAAACAGGAGAAAGGAACACAGACACACAGAGAGAGAATGACAGAGGCGCAGACACGGGCAGAGCGTGAAAGAGAGTCTGTCTGTTGCTGTTGAGAGGGCAAGGTGTGTTACTGCACAACACTACTAACCAGTATGTGAAGAATCTGGATGGACCCTAACGCTCTCCCTCCTTCTGTTTGTCTCTCGTTCCCTCTCTCTCTCTGCAGCTCGATCAGTCTGAGGCTGCTGTGTCTAACCCTTGTGCACACACGGACACCAACTTGGAACCAACAATGAGCCGCAGTATCTGCCACTTTCTGACCACGGGTCTGCTGCTCCTGCTATCTGCACGCTGGCACGGAGAGGCATGTAGCTGTGGGCCAATGCACCCCCAGCAATTATTCTGCCAGGCCGACGTGGGTGAGTGACCTGGGCACAAACAGACTGCCCCAAGGGAGCCTAACACCCAACTGGGTAGTTCTACCAGCTGGAGGGAGTGGGATGGGGTTTGGGTCCATTGGGATGGGGTAGAGCGGGACTGAACGGGAAGGGGTTTGGGTCCACTGGGACGGTGTAGAGTGGAAGTGAACGGGAAGGGGTTTGGGTCCATTGGGACGGTGTAGAGCGGGAGTGAATGGGAAGGGGTTTGGGTCCATGGGGACGGTGTAGAGCTGGAGTGAACAGGAAGGGGTTTAGGGTCCATGGGGACGGTGTAGAGCTGGAGTGGACGGGAAGGGGTTTGGGTCCATTGGGACGGTGCAGAGCGGGAGTGAACGGAAAGGGATTTAGGGTCCATGGGGACGGTGCAGAGTGGGATTGAACGGGAAGGGTTTTGGGTCCATTGGGATGGTGTGGAGTGGGAATGAACGGGAAGGGTT